TAACAATGAATGGATGAACCAGAATCAATGTCCGAAGTTCCCCCTTACTGCTGACTCAACTCACAACAACAACAACAACAACAAGTCCACCATGGCTATGTCTTCCCTCCTTCATCCTCCTCTCTCATGCATAGGCCATGGCGGACTACTAGGTGGCAGCTATGGTGCTGCCCTGATGTCCAGAAGACAACCCAAAGCAGCTATGCCGCTGGTTGACTTGGTCCGCTATGCCTGACTCTGCCTTCAGCTGCTCTGGTGCAGCGCTACCCCAACTGGGGCCTTCCAGATGCAGCGCCCAACAAGGTGATGAAGATGGTGTCCACCATAGCCAGGTAAGTGCCCTACCACTCTCCTACCATGCCCCCTTCTTCCTCCTCCTCAAGCTGGGGTGCTCGCCATAGCCAGGCTGAGCCCCAGCGGACCTTCACCTCCAAGCAGCGCTGCTTCAGTCCAGCGCTGCGCTCCAGCAGCATGTCGCCAATCCTTGCATACCGCAAATGAGCCCCAGCGGACCTTCACCTCCAAGCAGCGCTGCTTCAGTCCAGCGCTGCGCTCCAGCAGCATGTCCCCAATCCTTGCATACCGCAAATGAGGAAGAGCTCTCCGCTCTTCCTGAAGATATAGCGGCCTACCGGCCTCCTGGGCGGCGGCTTCCTAGGCCAAGCGGCCTCCCAGCAACCGGTACCTCCTCCCTTTTGGAGGGAAACATCATTGCAGGCTCTGTTATTGTCCGCACAGGCCCTAGACCCGGGCTACTTGGACTGGTACTGGCCTACCTCTAACCTACCGCTACTGGGCCTCTAAAAATGCCAACTTTTTGTCTTCTTCTGCTCGGCCTACCTGCTACTTGAGTGTTTTTCCCCAGCTGCTCTAAGTGCCGTGGGCCTACTCCCCGCTACCGGCTTGTTTACCCCCCTGCAACCCTTCAAAGTCACGGCCACAGGTAAGTACCGGCCCGGTGGGCCTTGCAACCAACAAGTACCCTTGCGGGTCACACCACATACCCAACCAGCAAGCACTCAGACAGACATGCAAACCAGCAGGCRCGCACACACASACAACCGRCAAGCACTCAGACAGGCATGCAAACCAGCAGGCACGCATACACACAGACKTGGAACCACAGCAGAATGCGGGAATCACAGCAAGGCATTCATTCCAGTGACAAATCCCAGAAATCAGCAGTGTTCTCAGTCTGTGTTTTTGGCGGGTCATTACAGACCTTAAATTCCCCTTTTTGTCATCATACTCATCGCTGCCATCATCTCCACCTGCACCACCAGCACTCAGCTTTGCTGCAACGATGGTGTTAGTAAGCTTCTGGAGAAGTGGTCATCTAGTTGGCGTGCATACTGCATGATCCTATGATCAACTTGATGGGATGACGCATAAAGGTAATTATTCCACGTAATCTAAAACTCCTCCTGGTGCTGTTCTATCTTTCCAATGGTCCGTTGTAGTGGAGAGAGTTTTTGGGTGGTGTGCAGCAAAGTGTCTATGAGAAGGTTCCAGTGTTCGTCGGGTTTTACCTGTTTACCCTTTTGATCCTTCGTCAACGCCTGGAGTCTTTCCCCCTCCTCTTTCAATTTTTTCTTCTCGTCGAATTCTCTCCTTTTTGCGGCCAGCAACTCTTGATTTAGCTCACTTCTCTTATCTTCTAATAATAAAATTTTCTCCTCCTCATCCTCAGTTGCTGCGAACTTTGCCACAAATCGATCTCTCTCTTCTTCACTTTCTTCCGGGAGCTCTGTCCGAAGCCCAAATTTTGCCACCCAATCTATGTCTTCAACCCGCTGGAGCCTTATCTCTCGGCATGGCTTCTCTCCGCCAGCTCCTCCCCTTCTTGTCTGGTTCTCCTCTTCTCTAGTCCTCCTTTTTCTAACTCTCTCTTCATTTCTTCCTCCTTCCTTCTCATCTCTTTCTCAATTTTCTCTTTCTCCTCCTCCATCTTCTTTCTTTCTTTCTCCAATTTTTCTTTTACTTCCTCCTCCTTTTTCCTTTTTTTCTCCTCTCTTTCTTTTTTCTTCTCAGCCAACCTCCTGTCAATTTCCGCCTGATCTGCAGCGGTGTTTGGCTTCGTGGTCCTACCGGATCTCATGGTCATACCCATGCTACATGTCCGGTGAAACCAAAGAGGGAACAGGAAACGGAAAAGGGGACCCCATAACACGGACGAGGTCAAGAATGCAAACATCGGGTAGTCATGCATGGTGATTGAAAGCACAGGTAAGCATCCTCCACCTCCTCACCACATAGACCTAGTCCTCAACACTTAACCTGACTTAATCTAGATTGGAGTCTGACCTAATCTGCCTCTGTTTTTTTCCGGAAATCTGCCTGTTAGTTTTGGTCAGTCAAAGAGATTCACAAAATCTCACAGTAATCTCACAGTAATTTCACACCCTTTTGTTTTTCCCGGTTTCTGGGGACATTGGGCGGGGACACTTGATTTCTATTCTCAGTGTTGCGTTGAAAGCAGCCAAGTGGCCCGGTTCCCGGCTTTAATAAAAAAAAATAGACTTTTCCTGTAAAAAAAGAAAAAAAAGAAAGTAGCCACGAGGTACGAGACGAAAAGCAAAACAACAAAACAAGGACATGATCAGCGCACCCAATTCTTTTTTTTTTTTTTTTTTAAATCAATCGTGTGTTCTGTGATCTATCTGCTAGTTAGAACAATTCATTGAAGTTGATGATTAAACCAATAGTGTGATGACAAGTGTCAATCTAGCAATCGAGTCTGACTTTCGTGCCCTGACCTGCAGAATCTGACAAGGACAACCAGAAGCGGAGTCCTACATCTCTCGCACACTTTTCGCAGAACCGCCTTCTTCCTCTCCTCCGCCGCCGCGCCGAGTCTCGATTTGGGAAACTGCTCTCTTCTACCTCCGCCACAAAGCAGCAGTCAGATGATGGAATCCCCAGCCCTATCTTGATGGGCCACGAATGCACTTCGATCCGCGTCCAGAACGATGCCGTTATGGCGACAATCGAACAGCTGCAATCCGAAGTTCAGAAGAAGACCAGATCTCCCCCCACGTGGCCTATCTCATTGTCCTACAAGTTAAGCCGCGGGCAAGCGCTGTACGTATCGGGAAGTCTGTGTCGCGGTGCAACGGAGCGTGGAGGCAGAGATCGGCCTACCCCTCTCCGACCGTTCGCCGAGGAGAGAGGGGGATCGTTGGGGTCTCGATTCATCGTCGCCTGTGATTGGCTGATAGCCGCGGATGGAGCCAGAAGCTGGAGCAGAAAGACAATGGGGGTCAAGATGGAGGGGGAAGCGGGGTTGCAGAATTTAATGAATGTTCATTTTGTCAGCACAGATCTGGGAGAAATGTTGTCGCAGAAGAATCCGGCAATGCTGTACTTCGTCTTCAATCCCGATGTCATTATGGTGGTCGTAGCTCATGACCTGGACAAAGGTGAATTTGTGGCTCAGGTGAAGTTCGTTTGATGACGGCCACTTCCTTGGGAAAAGACTTGGAAAGTTGGAAACGCACTTGTGAGATGTGCTGCTCCTTGTTCTTCCTTTCTTTCCTTTTTTCATATATGGCCCGGGACCACTTGCCCGGCCGGGCCAAAAAGAATTAAAAAAAAAAAAAAAAAAGAAATATTATTTTATTTGATTTTTTATTTTGAAGTTGGTAAAGAATTTCGATGTGACCCTGAGGCAAAAGTTGTTCAGTTTATTTTTCTGCATAACATAGTTCTTTTTCAGGGTTTCTTTTTTTTCTTTTTTTCTTTTTTTTTTCGCTGGGACCTTCCTTGGTCCTTGCACGACTGGGCCGCCTTGGAAAACAGGGTGACCCGGCCGGCCTGGCTGGTAGCCTATTAATATATATAGGGTTCAGCGGCTTCAACCTCCTGATGAGTCGGTGAAACTCCGACGAAACAGTTTGCCACAGCCCCTCGTTTGTTGTCCTCTTCTCCCTCTCTGCCTGCGGTTTACCGGGCAGCTATGTTTGACTATATATATCGTCAAACGGAGCTGCCCGGTAAACTGTAGGCAGAGAGGGAGAAGAGGACATATATATAAGTTAATATAACATATATTTATTTATGTAAAAAATGCAGGCTGGTCGTCTCCTCTTATGGGGGACAGCCGCATTGTTGTACTATGCTATTATCTTCTCTCATTATTGTATCTCACACTACCTGCCCTGAGCAAGCAAGGGACCATCCACCCCCCACACAAGCCCGGAAATTAATTTATCCTTAAAGCACCAGTACACCAGACATCGGCCCGCGGGTGTCAGCATGAAACCCGCACCACTTCAGAGGCCGCCAATTTTTTTTTCCAATGGCGCCCCGCGCCGGGCGGCCCCTCAGAGTTTCGCTTGTGGCGACAAAAACGCTCTGCAAGGCTGGGGGCATCTACTTGCGGTTTAAGACAGGCAACCACCCGGTCTAGAGACAGCTCGACTACAGAACCCTGCTTTGAAAGCCGGGACAAGGCTTAAATTCCCTAGCTAGAGCTAAACTTTACTAAGGTTATGGGTCTACGCCTACCTATCTCTGCTCTTGTGGGGGGAGCACTACCCAAGCTTCTAACACCTGGGGCGCGCTGAAAAGATCCAATTACTTCCGCAACCAGCCAGGAGGCGCAAACCAACAGTCTCCACTGGTGAACCCGGAGCATACCCCCAGGATTTGAAGACGAAGTAGAGCATTGCCGGATTCTTTTTTTTTTTTTTTTTTGAGTTTGGACCATTTCTCAATTTGCGTGTGTCATCCTTGCGCAGGGGCCATGCTAATCTTACTTCTCTGTATCGTTCCAATTTTAACAGCTGTTGCGAAGGACTCCTTTCTTTTTTTTTTTTTTTTAACTCAACAAGAATATGAGGTTGGGAATTTCTGAACATCTCAACCTGGAGAGTACAAAGGGTTTTTTTTTTTTTTTTTCTGTGCCCGTGTTCCTTTTTGTGGTAGAGTTCCCCATGCTGCTCTTTCTTGTTTGCTTGGGTCTGCGTTCCTTCCTTTCTTCTGTCCAAGTGTCTGTAATCTGGAGAAGGAAAGAAAAACAAACAAAAAAGGGGGAATCTGGAGTAGTTCCGTGGTTGTACGTCACAATTTTAGCCAACTGAGCTAAGAGGAGCATGATAGAAATATTATGTGCTTGAAAAATTATGTCGAAAGACTCGACTTGAACTCGAAACGATTCTAAGTTTCAAATTTCCAAGCTTAAAACTTAAGTTTTGAACCTGGATCGTGTGTACGCAAAATTCATTAAAAAAAAAAAGAAAAAAAAAATCATAATTACATGTCGAAGTCAGGATTTCATCACTGTCGGAAAACTTAAGTGGAGTTATCTGCACCAAACTTGTTGCAAAAAAAAAAAAAAGGAAAAAGAAAAATGGTTGCCTGCTGGTGTGGCAACCGCCAACCGGGGTTACGAGGTCAGTAGATGTCCTTGCAAGGAAAATGAGCGATAGCGAAGTGACAGAATTCCAGAATGCAAAATCACATTGAAAGCCAGAAAGTCCAACGCTGTCCAGAAAGCAGAAATGCACTGATATTCCACCAACGGAGAACCAAAGCACTGAATCCAAATGTCAATGAGAGCATACTCTCGCCACCACCAACATATGTATCCAGAGCCTTTCTTCCTACCGGGCGCTCAGCACCCAGTCTACGATCACCCAGCTACTACCTGCCTACGAATTGACAATGCAACCTGTTAGCGTCAGCAGCAGCAACCGAAATACATGAAGATGTCGACTCTGTAGACCATCGCCAAGACCAGGTACGTGCCCTCACATCATCATCCTCATCTCTCTCTCCCTCTCCCTCGTCTTCTCTACCCACATCTTCCCTTTCATGCATGAAGAAGACCACCACACGCTAAGTCCAAGCCCCAGCCTGGCTATGAAGGATGGGCTATGGCGCTGCCCTCAGCAGTGCCCTGTACCCTCTCGACGCCCACGCGCGCCCGCACCTAGCGGTAGCGCAGCAAGCAGCCCACGAGTCTACGCTCTAGCAGCGCTGCCGCCCGCAAGTGCAAGTGCCCGAATGTCGAACTCGGAGCCCGGCACTTTCCTGTATGGAAAGTGGCGGGCGTTTTCCACTTGCTTCCCATGTGAGACCGAGTTTCAAGTAGCTTCAGTCTCGGCCAAAGTGTCTGCGCCCAGGCCCGTTCAGACAGTGGCCTGGGACCGAATTGGTTAGGCATGCCCAACCACCCAGGCACAAATGTGCGGTGCTCCCTGCTTCGACAACGTTGCTGGAAGAGCCTGGATGGCTCACAAATATTTTGGATTCTCACGAGCAACGCGGATGTAACCAACTGGCGCATGGCAACTGTCTGGCGCCCACCAAGATTTGCAAAAATTGACGAACTCAGGGCACATTGAGATTCAGGGGCCCCGCCTTCACTTAGGGTGGGCATGTGCCTGCTGCAAGGCCTTAGCCGAGGGGTAAACCCTCACATCCCTCCTCCTTTACTTCGATAGTCCTTTGAGAAGTCGTTACATAGCAGGCTGCTTCCCTTTCAAATTTTGTTCATAACTTGAGATAATTTGGGGAACAGTCTTCATTTACTCCTCTCTTGTGAACCACCGATCTTCTTTAGGATCAGTATGATGTCAGAACCGCAATTGATACTGCATCTGCGGTTTCGGAGGGCGTCCCCTGCCTGGAGGCTTGGGCACAAGCGTCAACTTGTGCTCGACAATATCGTCAATGTCTACATGTCTGTCCATGGTTGGGGGCAACATCGATCTTCTTGAGGGAAACTGTTCAGTTTCAGCAAAGGGTGCCAACTTATATGCATGGAAAACAGGGTGCGTACGGAGGTGACCAGGAATGCGAATAGCATGTGATGGACCATCGGGTTGATCTCCTACTATGTCTAGAATTTCCCAAGGTCCAAAGTACTGTGGCAGCAGTTTGCGTGATATTCCCGACTCCTGTCCCAACTTAGATGACTCTACCCAGACTCGTTCACCTACCTGAAATGCAGACAGTCGTCTGTGTTTGTTCTCAGATGTAACCATGGCATCTTGAGCTTTCTTGATGTGCTCTACAGCCTGCTGCAGCATCTGTTTGTACTTGATAGCGAACTCTAGGGTACCAGGTGCTGCGGTTGGCTGGTTTTCAGGCAACAGGAAGTCAAGAGCAGATCTGAGCTTCCAACCAAGATGAAGCTGGTTGGGGGTCTTACCGGTAGTGCTGTGCACAGCATTGTTGTACAGGCTGGCAATGAGAGGTAACTTCTCATCCCAGTCATCTTGACTTGGCTTAATATAATCCCGAAGCAAGTGCTGCACTACCCAGTTCATCTGCTCAGCCTGCCCATTTGACTCAAGGTGGTTCCCTGATGTCATTTGCAGTTGGGTGCCCATCTGTTGGGCTGTACTTTGCCACAGTTCGCTAGTGAATCTGACATTCCTGTCGCTCACAATAGACTTAGGGAGACCGAAGTCACGTACCAGTTGTCCATGAATAGCTTGATGACGTGGTCAGTCCTAGTTGTCTCAGGCATAGCGATTAGTCTAGCATACTTAGTGAACCTGTCCCACAATGACGAAGATGTGACGTTTACCACTTTTGCTGATCACAAGAGTATCCATGAAATCCATGGAGACACTCTGACCAAGACCAGCGGGTACAGGCAAAGGCTTAATAAGTCCAACCGGTGTTTGCGTCTGCGGCTTGTCCCGTTGACAAACTTGACAAGTCTAACATACTTCTTCGCGTCATCCATCATTGTGGGCCATCAAAATTTGTGCACTAAGTTTGCAGCTGTCTTTTTAGAGCTGAAATGTCCGGTTGCATCGTGACACACCTAAAAATAAACTACGCAAAGACTCTTTATTCGGTACACACAAACGTTTATTCCCAACCTTCTCAAGGAACAACAATCTGTCAACCAGCACAAACTCATCGGAAGTAGCCTTGTCTTTAGCTTCGAGTTGCGGATGATCTCGTACATGACAATGTCTTCTTGATAGTCTTCCACCATTGAACGAGTTACATCATTAGAAATCCCAAACTCAGTCACTAGCGCGCCCATATAGTCTGCCTTATGCGATAGTGCATCGGCCATTTTTTGTACTCTCCCTTTAGAGGGTCGAGCTTATAGTCATACATATCTATGACTTCAATCCACCTCTTAAGTGCATCGGAGAGCACGGGTTGTGTCTTAATCCAGCGCAGCGTCTCATGGTCACATCTCACATAAAAGAATGTGCCTAGGAGGTAGTGCCTCCAATGGACCAGCGCTCTATAGAGGGCATAGAGCTCACACTCATACGTGGACTTAGCTAATTTCCGAGGTGGCATCTTTTTGCTCATGTCCTCGATCGGCCTCAATTTTTTCCCCTCCTGCGCAAGGACCGCGCCAATGCCGTATTGGCCGGCGTCTATGGTCACAACAAAGGGTTGTTCATGATCTGGAGGTTTGAGGACTTCATAGTGCGCCAGGGCATGCTTCAATCTATT